ACCAAACTACAGAACTCTTCAGAGAAACACAACTAGTATTTGCTATCAAGAAACTTAGTGCACATCTTGAGCTTCCAATTGATTTTATGACTTCAAATTCAAAAGGTCATACATTCATGGGTCTAAGCCGTACCTGGAAAGCAGAAAGAAATAGAATATTGCAAGGTCAGCAACAGCAAACAATGGTCAGCAACAAAGCAACAATGCTTAACTGAATGAAGTCAGTTTCAGCTTCAAACCAATTCCACACAGACCCAGATTCAATTTCAAATCTCAAACTCAAATCAAAATAGCATTCCAAACACAAATTGAGCTCAAAATCAACTTCCGAAAACCAAATTAACCATCCTGAACCCCATTTACATCAAAGGCTACTCTAGAGATCAATTTCAGAAAAGGAAGACCAATGGAATAGTGTTGTTTTTAAAAAGAACCCCAGCCGCCCTATTTTCTCTGATTTTTATCTCTTGAAATCTCTAAGGTCTAGCCGTTCTGATTTTTCAGATTTTTATCTCTTCTTTTCTGCCTTGAAGGGCAAGATAAAGATGCCTTTATAGGCAAGGAACCTAGGGCATCCCCAGAGAATCAATTTTCCTCTTAGGCCATTCTCCAATTTTCAGTTTTGCTACTTAATCCCTGAAATTTTGGCTTGTTTGCCAAGTAAGCCTGCTTTTCAACTTCTAGGAAGCTTCCTAAGTCTGTTACTAATAAATTCCCCTCCTAAACTACCCCCCAAGTGTCCCTTATTATCACCCCTGGACCTCAAATGGGTCATGGATCAATGACCCAAAGGTTCAGGTCCAAATGATGGACTTAAAGCCCAAGCCAAAAGGGTCCGAAATCAAACCAAGTCAGTGACAAGCAGAAAAAGAAAAAGAATCGAGTGATTTCAAAACTCAGAACTGAGCCAATCAAGTGATGAATTTTAAATTAAGCCCAATTATGCTAAATATCAATTTACCAACAATCCGACTTAGCCTAATTATCAGAAAATGTTCCTGATTAACTGAAGGAAATCAAGACAACAGAAAAGCTTTGCAACGAAAAAAAACAACTGAACATCTAACAAGACTAAAACGAACACTGATATAATCAGAAAGCTGGAAGCTAAAACGGAGAATTCCTAACCAACATAGTCAAGAGAGGAAAAACAAAGAGAAGGGGGGAACAATGTCACATGCACTAAACAAAATCGAGGACAAAGAACACTGATGAATAAAAGGAAAATAAGGAAGCCGGAACAAATACCTAAACCAAACAGATGCACACTTGAAGAAATCCTCGAAGAACCTTTCGATTTCTTGACCGGAATAGACCCTAACCGTGTATTTTTATGCAAAAACACACGATTATCGTCTATTACGATCCTAAATCTTCAAATAAACCTACTGATTTGGACTTGAGATTTTAGGGCTGTCTCTTCAAATCAAGATTCGAGACGCTCTTAGGGGATTCGAAAGAAAACAAGTCGAGATTTGGACATAGGAGGGTGTAGAGGTGCTAGGGTATTAATTTGGTGAGGATTGATGGTGGCGCCGCCGGGTTTCTAGGCGGTGGGAATGGTGGCGGCTAGGGTTTTGGGCGGTCTCTGAAACGGTGAAGGTCTGAAGGAGATGAGAGAAGGGGGAGGGGTAGAGGGGTTCCGACATATTTATAACAAAGGAACCCCTAGTTCCTGACCGTCAGATCCAAGGAACCTCGACGGTTGAGATTAATTTGAACGGAACGGGGTCGTTTGGTCGTAAAGGGAGACGGATAGGGAGAACTGGGCTGGGTTTGGGATCAATTTGGGGCAGGTTTTGGAGGAAATACGTTGGGTCTGGGAAAATTAACAAAACAGCCCAAAAACTTGTCTCTTTAATTCCATTTTCATTTTTCAAAACTAATTCTTTTCTTTTCTTCTTTTTTTTCCAAAAATTAACACTAAAATCCTAAATTAAGTTATAAAACCAGATTAACTTATCAAAAATACTAACTAATCCTAAATAATTACCACAATTAATAAATTAAATAAAAACTACTCAAAATCAAAAATTAAAATTAAAAGGTGCAAAATAACTATTTTTGTGATTTTTTTTTATAAGATAACTTAATTACTAATTAATTCTTAAAAATGCAAAGTTAAATCCTACATGCAAAATGCAACATTTTTGTATTTTTCAGTAATTAAACAAAAAAAAAATGCACAGACAAATGCAAACAATTAACAGAAAATGCCACAAAATCCATAAAATTGCAAATAGTGAAAAGAAATTTATTTTTCTTGAATTTATGGGAGTAATTCATATAGGGCAAAAATCACGTGCTCACAAGCAAGACAAAATTGAAGCTTTTGAGCTCAAACTGGATGAGCTCATAGAAAAGTATGATAGGGAGCTTGAAGAAATCAACACCAAGCTTGATAGGCTTGAGATGTTTGTGAAGTTTGATAATCTTCATGATGAAGATGCTCGTCCATCTGACAATGAATACGATGATGATGACGACGATGACATGGACGATTAGTTTTTTTTTAGTATAATCCTTTTAGATAAAGGATTATTATGTTATTTCTTTTTTATGTAATTTTAAGTTATATTTTTATTTATTTAATGAAAAGTTCTGTTTCTCAGTTAAGTTTTTTGTGCGTTCTCTTTTTTTTAATATTAATTCTCTTCAAACTCGAAAAATGACAGAGGAGATGAACTAAATAACTACAGCAGGAATTAAAAAAAACTCATCGGAAAATTAAGCATTTTTTGGTATGAAGTATTTCCAAAAAATCATAATAAAATACAAAGTGCAGGAGGAAACTTCAGCTCCCTTTGCTGAGTTTTCAATCATGAACTAAAAATCCTTTTTAAACTTNTATATTTTATTTTATGTAATGAAAAATGATATTTTTGTATTAATGTTTTTGTGCATTTTTCTTTTTATATTAATCCTTTTTAAACTTAGAAAATAACTGAGGAATTAACAAAAACTTATCCGAAAATTACATATTGTAGGACGAAATATTATGCTGAACTAAAAAACTTCAGCATCCTTGCTGAAGTTTTTGTTCAATATTTAAATTTTAATTTTTTTTTTTTTTACCCGGTGTAGGAGGAAACTTCAGCTCCTTTGCTGAAGTTTTTTAGTTCATTGCTTAAGTTTTTAAAAATGAACTAAAAAACTTCAGCATCCATGCTGAAGTTTTTGTTCAATATTAAGTTTTACTATTTTTAATTTTATTTTTTTTACCCAGTGTAGGAGGAAAACTTCAGCTCATTTGCTGAAGTTTTTAAAAATGAACTAAAAAACATGAGCATCCATGCTGAAGTTTTTTGTTCTATATTAAATTTTAATTGTAATTTTATTTTTTTTACCTAGTGTAGGAGGAAAACTTCAGCTCTTTTGCTGAAGTTTTTAAAACTGAACTAAAAAACTTCAGCATCCTTGCTGAAGTTTTTGTTCAATATTAAATTTTAATTTTATTTTTATTTTTTTTACGCAGTGTAGGAGTAAAACTTCAGCTCGTTTTGCTGAATTTTTTAAATATGAACTAAATAACTTCAGCTTGTTTAGCAAATAAACCAAAAATTTTAGCATATTATGCAGTGGAAAACTTCAGCATATTTAAATTTGTCGGATTAGAATGTTAGAATTTAACGTCAAACAGATTTAGAATGCACATTCAGCATATCAGTGAAGTTCGTCAAAGAACTTCAATCAATCAATCAGAAAACATATATCATGAAATCAACTAGTTTCATAAAATATTTTGAATTCTAAAGATGAATTTGAATACTTACAATGTATTTTGTAATTTTAAATTTGGAATTTGAATCTGGTTCAAATCTGGTTTGCGAGAGCCGATCTGAGGAGAGACGGAGTGATGGAGGAGATACGGACGTGATCTGAAATTTGAATCTGGTATGCTTGATTCATCTTTTATATGTTTTGGAAGGGGTATAATGGTCATATTATTACGGATTTTTTGTTAGTTGGTTACGAAATCAATAGTTTTTAAAAATAAGGTATAGGTTAAAAGGTGGCATAAATATAGGGTATGGCTGCAAATCCCCCATAACTAGAGGTGGCAAAATAGTTATAAGAAAATAGTCATCCACTCATATTATACATTAAAAAATAAGTTAAATAATGAACTTTTTAAAAACGGGTCGAATATGGATAATAACCATATTATTCACTTAGAAAATGGTTAACCAATGTGTTTAACTTTTACAGTGATCATATTCAAGAAGTCATGGATAACCCGTTTTTATCCGTCTCAAATATGAATTACCCGTTTTTGACTCACTCATATCCGACCCGACCGTTTGCCACCCAGAAATAACTAACACCTATGGCGCACTTGACCTTGTCAATGCTAAAGCGAATTGAAAGATCTGAACTCTCTTTAGTTAGAGGTTTGTCTTAAGAAGTGCCTGGAAAAAAAAAATAACTCGTACGCTAGAAGGAGGGCTTGAACCTCCGACCTTGTGGTTAACAGCCACACGCTCTAACCAACTGAGCTATTCCAGCTACTGCAAGTTAGCGAGCATTAAAGCTATTTCTTTGTAACAACGAATTTATTTTTTTTTTTAAAGCAACAAATATTTACACGACCAAACCAAAACAGAATTACATCAGTGAAACACCTTTGTTCTCTAAATGACAAGCATCAGAACAAAAATTATAAGCTAAACATGACGGCTAGAAAAAGGAAGTTATCTTTTCATTCTCCCCATTGAATCTATATAACCAAAAGTAAAGAAAATAAAATTTTGTCTCTCTCTCTCTCTCCTTTAAAATGCATAAGAAGTATTTTCATATTTTACATTTACGAAATCTTCTGTACCTACAACCATATGCTACAAAAGAATCTCATGATATAGGAAAACCTGAATATATTCTTGCAGTGTTCTGCATTTGTCTACGTTAAAGCATTTGTGAGTGAAAGAAAATGCTAACTGTGTTGTATAGCGACATCATGAGCTGAATTCACTGTGAATCAAATCACTGTACGCACATCAAAATATTGTGGACACAAATGAATCCTTGAAACTTAGAAAGCTTCATTTTAAAGCATGGCCAATATGAACAATTGTCAGATAATGCCTAACCAAATACACTTGATCAAAGTTGCTTTCTCTAGAACTAAATTTAGCAGGATTTGTGTGTAAAGGTGCTTTTGAACGAAGTATTCTTTCTGTTTCCCTAATAGCCAGTTTCTTGCACCGGCTACAATGAGGTATATGCAACTCTACTTGCCACTTTACAGAAAGTTGAGCCGAACCAGAACCATGATACTAAAGTTGTTTCCAACAGCTTTCATTCACTTTACAGCTTTAAAAGAAGGGTCGTCACTGCTGCTCCGAGCTTGGATTTCCTTCTTCTTTGTTCTCTTTAATTGTTTAATTAGATCAAGCCTTTCGGAAGAATAAGGAGAAGGAATCTGGGACAACAAAAATAAAAATAAAAAATATAAGCACATAACAGGAGGAGGAATAATGTGTAGAATGATAGATTACAGTTACCAAGCTCGGGACATATTTCTTGATCGCGGCTAGCATGGCTGCATGACCCACGGCAGAAACCTGTTAGATTTATCAAAGTGAATCTTTGAGAAGCTCTTTGTGAGAACAATAGGGAAGAAATATTTCACATTGACATCCTGAAACTAGATGAAAGTTGTTCATGAAGGAAGTTTGTTGTACAGCAACTATTAGAAACAATACACTTCCATTAATACAATACCATAGAAGACAAAAAAGTAGGAAGTTTTTAGTAATCTTGGGACCAAGATAGACATGGCACATTTTCCGAATCATTGCCTTATAAAAAGATCTTATCCTGCTTACTTTTTAGTCCCTTAAACATGGTCATATCATCTCTGACATCTGTATAATTACTATAGGCCCTAAACCATTTCTAGCATATAGCATGGAGTGGACTAGAAGACCAGTTCATTCAGCCAAAAATTGAAACTTCGAGCAGACAGACGGAAATCCATTGTTTCATCTAGTTGATGCTTACAGGAAGTAGCATTAAGATGGTTATGGGCACAAGGTTGGCAATATCACCCAGCGTTCTCTTCATTTTCTTTCCCTCCCTTTTTGTTAGTCGGCGGCCTTTCAACTGCTTTATAAGTAGGCCCAAAGCATCCGATATGTCCGTAAAGAGCAATTCAGTACCCATCCAGATATCCTAGCACAATGCAGTACAAAGTTAACAACTGTAGAGCATACTCTTTTGATTTGATTGAATAACTGGAGTAACTTACCGTACTTGCAGATATCAGCTTGGTCGTAGATTTTGTTAGAAAATTTTGACGTGTTTTTGGTGCAGTAGAGCAATCTGACTCCACCAACGTCAAAGGGTCCACACCGGAGCTGGTGGCCTGACATTCGATAAGAGAAATGAAAAATCTATAAAGGGCTTCATAAACTACTATCAAGTTAAAAGGTTGTGTACAAATGTTCGAAAGAATTGATGAATAAAGTAAGAACTGTCTGCTACGCCTAGAGAGAATTTTCTTGTCGGACACCGAATTTAGTAATCCAGACTCTTTGGACCAAGAGTTCTTGATGGTTTATTCCCTATTTATTCAATCTGCTACCTGTATCTGATTCAATCTAGATCCAAATTGATGATTTTCCGTTTTTATCAACTCAATTGGCTTCTCCTTCGCTTCCAATATGATGGATGAACTCATGCCACCTTTAATAATCAAAGATGCTGCTGGATCAGATGCAATTCTTTCAGCAATTTTTTGCAGTTCTCTGCTCGAGAGAGATAGACAACACATTATTGGAATGTTGCAGCAACAGAAGGTATCTTCTCTTATCCATTAAAGGAAACATACCCTGTTCTATCATAAGCTGCCCAGTAGTCCTCCAGGCATCCAGAAAGCAGACTCTGACTAAAGAGATTGACGGAAATCAGCTAAAAAGTGAGCGACATTTAGACATTCCAACAGTGCATTCTCAGAACGATTTGATACCTCTGAAGCAAGAAGTCCAGTAAATCTGCATCTAATGGCTGCTGCGCAGAGTTGCTATAGTGAGCAAATCCAGCTATAATATCATAGCATACAGTTAAAACAGTGTACAAGATTATTTCTTTCTCTGCTTGAATTGGATGTTGTTTGGATCTTCTTTTGTCACAAAACTTGGTGGCAGATGCAGCATAAAAGTCGAGCCATCCAATTTCATTCGCTACTACCTGCGAGAATTGTTCTAATCAATTGTTTATTTCCTTTTTCTTCCAAATTAATGTAAGTACTAACCTCCATGAAGAGCTGATACTCAGACAGAGTGGAGAATTCTGGATGCATAAGAAGGCTACCGCATTCTAAGTAACTGCAGGGAGAAAGCACAAAAGTTGTCCAATTTCAATCAAATGAACAAACAACACTGACTAGAGTAGGGGAAAGTAAGTAGGCTCTCTATTGTAGATACCTCAGAAAATCTTTAGTTTGCTCATCAAGATCCTTTACACCCATTTCTGAGAGGAACAATCTTGTCTCTCTTCCCAAATATGCAAAAAGCCCCAGGGTAGCTAAACTATTTTCCTGAACCTGTCGACATCGAAACGACAATCAGTTCAATATATAACTTATTTTATCAACTTCATAATTAACTGATGCATCCAAATTGTCGAAGAATCTTCATTATCATTTTAGGCAGGGGAAACCTTAAGTCCTCTAACTAACTATTTCATAATTATTGTTATTGTTGCTATATGTTTTATTGAATTTATAGATATAAGGAGAAAAAAGTTTATCCGTTCAGAACCAGTTGCAAGATAGAGTTTCTTTAACATTAAAGACAATAATTCTTATAACAAGCGCACATAACAGAGAGAATAAGAATCATAGACGTATCCTTCTTTCTCTGAATTTCAAGACCGAAGCATAGTTTTATAAGGGAGTTACAGTGAGATATCATAAGTTTGTAGGTATTCTGCAGTTCTTATGCAAGAGTAAGAAGGAGATAGTTCACAACATTAATTGCCTCCAATCAATTAGTAAACGCTAACCTTCTCGTGAAAAGTATGCTTGTCTGTAATCACATTTTCTCTGTGGAATGCATTACTGAGTTTTCTTTGAACCAATCCTATCCAAAATTCTACATCTTCAATACTGTTACTTGGTAGAACCTTTCTACCAAAATGAAACAAGAAGTCTTCTTCAAATCCAGCCTCAGTTGCTAAATAGTGCAACTTATCAACCGAAACAAGTCTATGTGACAAGTTCATGAGCTCTACTAGTGCATCTTCAATCGAAGCAGAAAACAAAGGACAAGAAACGCGCCCCGAACCTAACTTCCTCACTGCAGTGCAACAACTTATGGCCAAGATATTTCCTGCAACACCACTGAATAATTCTGTATAAGATGTTTTAACAGCTGAGAGATAAAGAACACGCCCCATATCAATCAGCAGATTACTGTTAAAAGAGTTTGGTTGCATCATGAAGACAACAAATATAACCTGATAAAAAATGAACGGACTTTAAGGACATACCTTCCTGCGTAATCCACAGACCATTTCTTGAATAGGGGAATGAACATTCCCGCTATCCGTGGCAGCTCCAGTGTTCTAAACCACTGCACCAACTTTGGATTCCTCACATTCAACTGACTTTCAATGCGTTCCCCTAGTAAGTCGGTGATTGGGGATAGGCTGAGGCAAAGCAAAAAGGAGAAGAAAATGAAAATAAGAATAAAGACAAGACCGCCAAAATGTGTCATGCAGTTTCCTTCTCAATAGAACACATTCAAACAGAAACGGGTTCATGATGTGAGTTCCATGATGAAGAATGAATATGATCAAAAGAGAAGATAAAATCTGAGGGAGCGAGAGACTGATAGTCTTAAGTCTTAATGTTTAAACTCACAATAATACACAGATGTGGAAAAGTTCAAGATAGTCAAACTTACATTTCATTAACAGAAGAAGCATTGTTGCTGCGTTTGCGAGAAAGAAATACTTCCACTTCTATTGCTGCTTTGAGCAAAGCATAAATTGCTACCTGTGTAGCATCATCTGCTTTTTATTTGTTGCATAGGTTCCAAAGTTCGCAAACTTGCCAATTATCATAGTTATGAGCTAAGTGTTTAAGATAGAAAATTGACTCTGATATCAACCTTCACAATCTAAAACTGAAGAACAAATGCAGTGTGTCAAAAATCTCTATTTACGGAACTGCAGGCTGCACTTCCATACCTGATACGCGATGCTTTTATGCCACGCATGCACATCCACCCCAACCCATGCCATTGCAAGCTCAGGCCCATTTTTAGCCAATTCAAGGGTCTGCGCTGAAACTGAAAAGCTTCTCGCAGATTCATGCAGTACCCACACAAGACAATTGACTCGACTGAATTCCAGCTCATTCCTGTTACAACTAGCTAAGGAAGGATCCATTTCAATAATGTTTTGATCAGGGTTGCCTGCAGATGCCACTGATCCTAGAGCTTCTGAAGGGATGCATTTCCTTGAAATCTTCTGGGACAATGATGCAGAAAGATATCCTTGCAGAATGATGTATTTTAGACAGCCAAAACCGTGGTCTTTCACATATATATTTGATGCACATAGTTTCTTACACCCAGATTTTTCTACGTTCCATGATCGGACAATTTCTCTGCAGCAAAAAAGAGCCAATGTTGAATTTTATTAAATGGCTGAAAAAGGAATCAGAGGTCTCAAGGACCTTCATAGTCTACCTCTGTATTCTCACAAAAGTCTAAACCTATGCAAATGCATCTATCTATAATTTAAAGATTTCCGATTGGGGCTTTCAAGTTAAGAACCCTAAACCTAGTAGACTTGCTTGGTCTTTCCTTCAGATGGTGTTTAAAGTTTCCTGGCCAAATTCATCTAAGGTTGATAGTAAGCTTTTCAGTGGAATGATTTACACTCCCTTCAAACACAAAAGTTCAGATAGCTAAAATGAGGTGATTAAGTGATAACTTATGACTTGATGAAGGACAACCATCAACGAAGCTTCAAATCTTTTCCATTTTGGATGTACCACCATTGTATGCAAATCTAGAGCTAGTACAAGAATGATAATAGTAAAACCTTTTCTTTCCTTGTTCGGTTGTAAGCACTTGGACTTTTTCCTATTGCACTTAGTATTACAATAAACCAGTTATGCTCCGTCCCAAACTAGTTGGGGTTGACTATATGAGTCACCATATCCATGCCACTCAATTTGGATTTATTTCATGCGAATACTAAATAAATCATATTTTGAGGTAACTTAGGAGTTATCTAAAAGTAGAATTTCTCTAAATCTCACAGTATCTCCATATTGATATACAAGTCTATTACAAGAATGAAAATACTTTTGCCAAACACCGAACTTGATGTAAGTGTAAAACAACTAAACTTTGAACAGTAATCCCAACTGGTTGCTGCTATATGGACCATTTGATTGCATTATAGTTTGTTCTTAGCTATATTCACCTTGATTTCACAAGATTAAATATCTTATGAAACAACTTTCCTCCATGCGATTTTAGGTCCCTATCTCATCTCCAATTTAGTATTCTCAATCATCCTAGTTACTTGATAACATCTCAAGCAATCTACTCTCATTCTATTTGCAATATGTACTACTTGTCCCCTTTGTCATCGTCCAATCTTTTGAAATTGCATAAGCACATCTTTCTTAAGAACTTGACATATACTACGCGAATGAATGTCCTTCTATAGAACTTGTCTTTCACTTTTTAGACATCTTCATATTGCATATCACTCACTCCACTATCCAATCAATCTAATTAATTTTAGTGTTACATTTTCATCTGTGTCATTCTCTAAATAAGTTTCTTTACTATTAATTAAATGAAAGAACACAGGAGAGATTGATGCTTTATAGATCAAGGTTTCTTTTCATTTTAATTGTAAGATCATCTCTTAATTCATGAAACAAAAAGAAATCCACAAATCTACTCCGCCATTACTTTATACTTCATTAATTCCCCAAACACAGAGTGCGCATTCACATTTTTGCCCCTGAATTTCCGTCTCAGAAATGAATCTGATACTTAACAGTAAATCTACACGAAGCACATTACTTAATTAAGAAATATCAGAGGCGAAAAATTCGTTGACTCTTATGGTTAGCTGAGAGATTTCAGGATTCAACAAATGGAATTGGTAAACATAATTGCAAAGATAAAGAGAAAATGGGCGGCAATAGAGAAAACTTACTGATTATGGAAACTGGAAGTTCGGAGAGAAAAAAGGGAAGCCATGGAAAAAGCGAAGAAAAAGGGAAGAAGAAAATGGATAGGGATGAAAAGCGAATATTTAAAGGGAGAGCTTGAAGCGAAACCATCGAGGTAGAGAGAGAAAGAGGATTGAAACACGAATTTGATATTGGTGGGTTTTGGACTTCAATACGTAAAACCCACTTGCTTTTTAGCTCCCACCAGTTATCTCCCTTTTCGTTCTCACGAAATTCCAATTTTTGATACGAGGAGAAAACGACGCTACACTGTTTAAGAAGTCACACAATAATGGATACTAATTTTAAATAGTAGTATTTTAACTAGTTTAAGAAATTTGTGATATAGTGATTTTTGTAGTATAATTTTACACACGAATATAATTTATCTAAATAAAGTAAATTGAGTTTCACTTTACACATGATATTTAGAGTCGATGGACATTTGTATTTCATATTTCATACCCCACAGATTTATAGAATGCAACTGGATACTGGTACCTTTTTTTATGAAAACAAAGAAAAGAGAAATGAATAATTTTAGTGGGCGTTTCGACATAAGAATTGTAAAATTTTAAGTGAAAACGGTATTTGAGAATTAGCTAGCGTTTGGTCATAGATTCCAAATTTATTTTGAAAAATTTGATTTGGGTGAAGTTTGGTTTGAAGATGAAAATGTGTTTGGACATACGTTTTCAAAACATATTTTCCAACTTTATTTTGGAAAAAACATGTATATAATTCCCTAGTTTTGGGATTTTGGCAATAGCTGATTTTGGGATTTGGGATTTGGGATTGGGCCAAAAGGTGGGCAAAATTTATGGCCAAACATGAGTTTTGAAAATAAATCCCAAATTTATTTTGGCAAAACTCATGCCAAACGGGGCCTTAGAGTTGTCTTTGGAAATGAATAAAATTCTGGGTTGTTTTTTAATTTGTGAGTGGTCTGAGAGAAAAATTTTGAAAAACAGTTTTTTGAAGTTTTTTTAAATTTTCGAAAAATTCCAAAATTGATCTTCAAGTGAAAATTGAAAATTTTGTGGTCAAATACGTATTTCGAAAAAAAGTGAAAAAATTCTTGTGTCCAAACGAGCTCTTATTTTCTTGATGAGATTGAGCTCGCAATAATAGATAAAAGAGAATGTAAAAGAGAGAAGGCTTTTTTTGGAAAATTAATATTATTGCACCTCAACGTAGATCGACTTTTAGATCTCCATAGAAAATTAGATGCACAATAAAGATTAACATTCCAAGCCAAAACTAATTGAATAACACAACAACTAGAGAAAAAGTCCAAATGCTGTCACGCTCAAAAGCTTAGTGATGAACAAGAATACTCACAATATCACAAATACCAAAGTTCTAACTTTGCTAGTATTAATAGAGCTCACAATGTTACAAGAAGAAGAAACATATCATAAATCGTGATCATTGATAATAGTATAAAATACAAAATTTGAACACATTTTGAATAATTCAAAGTAAAATTCAAAATTTTGTGAAGCTAACCTTTACTATTTGATTCGCTTCAAAAGAAGTAGCTAGGAAACTAATCCAAAAGATGAAAGTAATTTTTCACGTAATTATTTGGATAAGTTTAACGTATCTCCAATGACAGCTTCTTTCCAAATACTTCTACCACATATTGAAGTATACTGAAGAGAATTATTCAAAATACTCTACAAAGTCTAGCTTAGTTCAAACTCCAAATGATGAAATAGTAAAAAAAAAAAAAAAGTAAATGATACTCTCTCTGTCCCATCATATTTGATGCACTTTGATTAAGTTTAAGTAAAAAAGAAAAACTTTTAAAATCTATGGTCTGTAATAAGTCATAAACATTTGTGTGACTATAAATCGATCATTTCATTTGGGCAAAATAAGAAGTTTAAAATTAAATAGTTTCAAATGTAAGATTTTTTATGTTTTTTTGGAATAGACTAAAAAAAAGTGAATTACATAAATTAAAATAGAAGGAGTAGGTAATAAGAGAAATACAACCACGGCCACCCTAGGCCTCAAACCTTTGCACTGGTCGATATATATTTAAGAATGTGAATATAAATACGCATGCTAGCTAAGAAAAGCATGCATCTTTACTAGCATATAATGGTGGTCGCTAAAGTACTAAATTTGGGGTGCAAGTTCGAATTTATATTAGCAGGACCATTCTCACACAATTTCTTCAAGGCACTCAATATGGTTAATACACTAATAATAAAACGCCAAATGGAGTTATGGAGATGCCTAAAAGCAGATTGTGGCGTGAAGAATGGGAATTACTCAACCTAATTGTTTCACCTCGAAAATACGAGTAACAATTAAACTTGTTTGTGGTTTTAAAGATACGTGATTTAGTTCAATACTAATCAATAACCAAGAAATATGAAATATAAATGAAAGAAGTAAGTTGAATCAAACCAGTGTTTAAGTAAGTCTCGGCCTCGAGTTGTGATGGCCTCGAGGCTGGTCAGCAAGAACAGTAAAATAAAGACAAATAAGCTAAGAGACAATTCTAATGAAATATGAGCAATAAAGTAAGAGAGTATATTCTTTGCTAATGATTGATGGTGGTTACAAATGATTGGGTCGGGGTACATTTCTATTTATAGTAAAGAATTTTATTGGGACAGCTGTCTAACCGCCTAGTACGGACTCGTACTAACTCGTACAAATCTATTTCGGAATTTACGCCATGATCTTGGGGACGTGGCGAGAATCTTGCTATTTCTGTTACAAACTCATAACGGCATCATCTTGGGGCTGGTCGTACTCGGCGTCGGCGCTCATTGCGTACTTCGAACCTTATATTCTGTCGTCGGGCTCGAGCTTGGTCTATCGGGCTCGAACTCGACCCATCCTGAACTTGGGCTTGAAGCGACCCTTCGAGCTCGTGAAATCGGACATACCTGATTTCGGTCGTATACAGATAGTCCCCGCGTTTCTTAGAGTAAGATGATAAGAAACGATTTGATCCTCGATGCTCCGATACTCGATCATCATGTCAATCTCGTGACGTCAGCGACTGAAGTGATTGAAAGGTCGTTTCTGCATAGTTCCCAAGGCCATTAATTGGAGGTGACTGATGGTCGGTCATTAGCTTTCCTAAACCGTTAAGGCGACCGCTATAAATAGGTCAATTTCACAACATTTACAATCTTTACTTCTCAAATCTTTCTCAAAACCTCACTAGCTTCTTCATCTTCTCTGAGTTTACCCTTTCCTAAATTTGTTCTTGCTGCGACATCATCTCATTCTCTTCTTTCGAATTTCTCAACAACAACAACGGCTAAAACATCTAAAATCGTTCCTCAGAAAGAAAAAGCCTCCTCATCACGTCCAGCCGACGGTAGAACGGTGGTGCCACCTTGTATCGAGGAGTGCATTCCCGGGCCATGCGAGCTCTTCCGATTTCGAGGTTGATAAGCCTGCGTCGGTCCCAGGTCAATGTGAGCCAATGTCTCGATACCTCTGCTTGATAACTGAAGACGAACTTGAGCAGGTGAAAAAAGACTGTGGTTGGGAGAACAGGGAAGTGGTGATTCCTTCCCGGCTTCCCCAGAGGAGGATATCACTACCCATGTGAAAGGATACCTAAGTGTGTATACTTATCCTTTCACACTAGGTCCCGCAGATCCGGTACTGGGTCCTGTGGATCCATTCATTCTCGATTTCTATCACCAGTATCGGGTGACACTTGGCCAGATCTACCCCTCTTTCTGGCGTATCGTCAAATTACTCAGGTTCTTCTCGGGCAAGGTCGAAGGGGGGTTGCCTTTTACACTTGACCATCTGATCAGGCTATATAGCCCTCGCCTCTATCGAGGTGGTTTGATAAAGCTCCAGCATCAATCCTTGAAGTCGCTATTTTCCAGCCTCGACGAGGACAAAGACCGAGGGTGGATGAGCCGGTTTGTCCGAATTAGGACTTCCGATTTGATTCTTGCTGAGAGGATGCCATTCCCCGAGGAGTGGAACATGAAACGTAAGTACAAGCTTATCGATGATGATTAATATTCTTCTTTCTCTATTCTTCCTCGATTTAATTCCCTTTTGATGATGCAGCTGCCCCTTGGTTCTCTGGAGCAATTCCGGACCTCGTAGGTTGGGTCCGACAACTTGCCTCCACCCTTCATACGCGGAACGCAGTTGGCATGATTTGGCCAAGGGTCGGTGGGAAGCTAAAAACCATGGTGAGTTCCTTTGTTCATATATTGGAGTTTCTCAGTGAAATACTAACTTTGCTCTTACGCAGGCCTCGGAGACGCTGTTGCTATGCGGCCGCCCCCGCCCGGTGAAGAAGAAATCCCAAAGCCAACCAAGGAGAAGAAAAGGAAAAGGGCTTCGCCTGCGAGTTCCCCGAAGCCCAAGAAAATTAAGGCTCAAAAGCCTAGGGCCGATCCCACTGCCCTATCCGCAGAAGCGGTCCAACATCTTCGGAATGACGAGGAGGAGGGAGAAGATGACAGCTGCCTGTTGGTAGCTCGGAAAAGAGGAAGCATTAAGGCTTCGAAATCCGCGAACCGGTGATGACCGACGCGGTTCATTCTCAAACTGAAGAAATCTCGGAGGGGAGTTCGAGCAAAGTTTGCGAGCCATCGGGCGACAAAAGTGCATCTCGTCCTGGAGGACATTTGGCAGGCGAGCCCGAGGAGCCTAGTTCCGAGGCCCTCCAAAGAGAAGATAATGTCCCAAGTGAATCACTTGGGATAATTAATGTAGATGAATCGCCGCCGGGCCCTGTGTTCTCCGAAGGGCAATTCCGAGATGCCCAGGCCATGAGGACTCCTGACGTGGGAACGACCCATGAAGGGTGTGATATTTTCCGGGAGTTCCTTGCTAATTCTGTTACAAACTCATGACGACATCATCTCGGGGTTGGTCGTACTCGGCTTCGGCGCTCATTGCGTACTTCGATCTTCGAAAATTATATTCTATCGTCGGGCTCGAGCTTGGTCTATAGGGCTCGAACTCGACCCATCCTGAACTCAGGCTTGAAGCGACCCCTCGAGCCCGTGAAATCGGGCATACCTGATTTCGACAGTATACACTAGTTACAATAGGTGAATACCGAATATAGTATACTCCACAAATAAGGAAATTCTACGATGTATAGTTGCCCACTAAAATAATAGCCGACAATTTTTTTTTTTCTTCTAAAAATATTAATATACAA